TCTCCCAAACCTTAAGCTGAGGTAACCCCCTCTCCCTCAGGTCCAGGGAAGCCCCTCCCCCAAACCCTAAGCCTGGGCGAATGGCACACATGCTGGCGAGAGCAGGCCTTGGACGGATGGCAGGGCCCCCACCTGGGTGTTCTGTGTGGGGATCTGCAGCACCAGGGCCAGTGTGTTGTGGTCAAAGTTCTCATCCAGGGCCAGCAGGGCCCCATGCACACCGCTCTCGTGCAGATTCCCGGCGTAGTCACGAAGCCCAATGGACTGGACCCAGTTAACCACCTGGTCATTGGTCCAGACCAGCACATCTGGGAAAGGGACACGAAAAGACAGGTTGAACCAAGGTCCCTCCGAGGACTGTTGGGCCTGTTCTCTGGCTCCTAACTGGACATGCCTTCCCCTGTCCTCCCTGGCCCCCGGGCTCCTAGAAAACCAGCACCACCCCATTCTGCCCCTGCCAGCCCACGGGACGCAGGGTCCAGCCAGCAGGCTCCCACTTTCTCCCAGAGCCCCGGCAGGCCGGAAAGGCCTCTTCTTCCTTCCACCTAAAGGTCTTCGCTGAAACTGGCCCCTCTTTCCTGCCCGACTTCACTCAGATTCCGAGTGCAAGAGACACCCTCACACCATCTAGAGCTATCTTTGAGATTCAGCACATTTGCCCAGTGGGTGTGCACTGTCTGGGGTGGGGGTGAGGGTGTTTCTGCTGCCCAGATGGCAGTTTCCTGTGGGCATGGCTACATCTCCCTCATGGACTAGAAGCTCCCCGTGACGGAGTCGGAGCTCCCCTGTGGTGGGGTCCACAAACCAGCCCTGCTCCCCCAAAGCAGCTCCTACGCCCTTCAGAAGAGGCTTCATTTCACTGAGCCCAACAAGCTTACCCTTGATCTCATGCTGGCTGTCCTCCCGCCTCTTCTCCAGTTCCTTCCGGTCATAATTCAGCCGCTTCAGACACATGATACCGTACTGCAGACTGGATCTGCAGGCACACGGGCCCTTGAGCCTCAGCGGGGCCACGTGCCCGCCACTTCAGCCCACGTCCAGCATGTCCACCTACGCCCTCCAGCAGAGAACATCACCCAGGGCACGCCTGTCCCTCCTCTCCCCACCCACCCAGCCGACACACATCACCCATCCCAAGGCTGCTTCCCTCTCTGCCTACTCCAGTCCTTCCTCTGCCTAGGGCATGGACCTAATCGGTGAGCGGAAAGTTCTTTGAATGAGAGCAGCATGTCCTTTCTCTCCAGGCACTGGAATACAAAGACTTTACCACCCGCAAGTCAAAGAAAAGCAAAAACGTGTAATGAATCCTTATTTAGTATCCGAGATGCTATACCTATGAGTCAACCATCCCATGTCACTCAGAGACTTCACAGTGGTCTACAGAATGCTTCATGACCTGCCCCTTACCTGTCTGAGCTATGCTGCAACTACTCTCCTTCCCTCATCCTGATGCAGCCACACTGGCCACCCCTTGCTGTTCTTCAAACACAGCTGGCGCAGGCCACATGCCTCAGGGCCTTTACACTGGCTGCCCCTCTCCCTGGACCCCTCTTCAAAGTCTGCTAAAGTCCCCTTTGTCTCCTTCAAGCCTTACCTCACATGTCACCTTCTCAATTCAATAGTCACCTTGCCTGCCTCACTTAAAATCATGGCATCATGGGCCCTCCCTGGTGGTGCAGCAGGTTACAGCACAGCACTGAGAAGCTAAAGCCACCTCAGCAGGAGTATGATCCCCGCCTGCCCCGGAGGTGACCACATGGCGAGGCAGACCTCTCCTGACCCGCCCGCTGCTCCCCTCAGCAGTGTACTTTGTCAGTCAGCCTGATCTGCTCCCCACTCTGTCTCTGGTGAATCCTCTCACCATCCCTGCGCCTCTGGCCTGTACCCCAGTTCTGTATGCACAAATAAATAAATCTTTTTAAAAAAAATCACAGCATCACTTCCAGCCCACACTCCCAATCCCCCCTACCCTGGTCTAATTTTCTTCCCTAGTATTTTTTTTATATGTTAATATGATAGCATTTGTCCCACTTAGAGAGCAAGCACCATCAGGCAGGAGATTTTGCCACAAGCACATTTTGCTCAGGGTCTATCTCAAATCCCTAGAACAGAGCTGGCACAAAACTGACGTAATTCACGTAAAGTGCTAAAAATACTCAAACAGTACCAGGGCGTAGTAAGGATGCTAAATAATCCAGAACCACAGGCTGTAGGTTAGCAGGGACCCCAGAGGCCTGCTGCAGGAGACACCTCTGAAGCACCCTTCTGAGAACTGTGACAACTGGGGTCTGATTGCCTCTGGGGACAGGGATTTCACAAGGTCCTCAGGCAGCTCCTGCCCACGGGGCAGCCTCCCCGGTGGTCTTCCTTCACTTGGACATTCCACTGTCACTCAGCCTCTTGGGTCTGCCACGGGAAGGCCGAGAAAGGGCTCTTTCTCATCCCGGCATCCAACAGACGATCCTTCTGCCTACAACCGTCCCTCCTAGGGCAGAGACACCAGCACACCGGACACCCACCTTCCTGAGTCTGCAGGTGCGTACTCACTGCTCAAGCCACAGGCTTAATTAAGCCTCGGTCCCTTCAGGGGGGCAAGAGGACACGCTACCTGCTGCATGGAATTAACCTCCTGTCTAATTTCAGTCTTACTTATTATACTTGTCAGTCCAGTTCCTACAACTTTTCAAAGCTGTGGCACAGCACAGCGGCAATATAAAGGCCTTAAAGTGAAATCAAGCTGGGTCTGAATGCGGCTCCGCCACCTGCCTGCAGCACTCAGCCTAGGTGAGCTGAGCCCTGCCTCTCTCGAGGGCTGCTGTGAGCATTAAAGGTGATACTGCCTGGAAGAGCGTGGCCAGCCCCTGGAACAGCATGGGCGCTCAGCGAGGACGCCGCCACAAGGAGGGCAGTTCTGGTCATTGCATGTGCTTGTTCTCCTATGAACAGGAGCTGCGCAAGGAAGCCTGTGAGACAAAAAGCTGCTCTGGGAAAAGAGCTCAAAGCTGGGTGTCGAGAAGGCAGGCTGTTGGCCCATTCTGTGACTCCCTGGTTGACACCTGACCTCTATCGGACGTTTCCTCGTCTGTAAATTGTTTAAGCTCTCCCTTACTTGTCACGAATGTATGATTTTTTTTTATTATTTTTTTAAAGATTTATTTATTTATTCATACAGAACTGGGGTACAGGCCAGAGATGCAGAGGGTGAGAGGATTCACCAGAGACAGAGTGGGGAGCAGAACAGGCAGATTGTGGAAGTACACTGCTGAGGGGAGCGGTGGGCGGGTCAGGAGAGGTCTGCCGGGCCATGTGGTCACCTCCGGGACAGGCGGGGGTCGAACTCATGCGGAAGTGGCTTTAGCTTCTTAGTGCTGTGCTTTAACCCGCTGCGCCACCAGGGAGGGCCGGCTTTAGCTTCTTAGTGCAGTGTTTTAACCCGCTGCGCCACCAGGGAGGGCCCTAATGTATGATTTTTTAAAAAAAAAATTTAAAGACCTAAGAACTACTTAGGAAATGTCACATGGAATAAAAGCAGGTATGTGGTCCAGGAGCGGAATGTGGAGATGCTTTAGAAACTCTGAAGTCGTCAAAATTTAGAGTTGAGTCTGGAACCATTTGTGCAGCCGGGAGTTCCTCCTTGCAGAGGGCAAGGGGGGTTCATAAAGCTGGGTGGGGCGGGCTGACTGGTCCCGCAACAGCCCTGCTCACCCTGGCTCTCAGCAGCCCTGTCAATCATCCAGGAGGGAACAGGTGCAGACCCAGCCTGGCAGCCTCCAGACAAAGACAAAAGATTCCTTTTAGCCCAGTGGGAGGGGGGACACAGAAAAAGGCACTGCTGTGCAGGAGCAAGAGAACTGGACACGGGACCTGTCGTCCCCGGATGCCTCTGGCTAATTGGACCTGCTCAGACTGAAACTTTTAATGAGTGACTGGGCAGTCATTTATACCCAATGCATTCATGTGGTTCATGTCTGGGGAGACCAGGGCACATCTGCAAAGCCCCAGAGAACCTAGAAATGCCACGCTGCAGCCTCACCCCAGCTCCCACCTTTGTCCTATTAGTCACTCAAGCTAACAGACCTGCCCATGTGACTTGGAGTTGGGTGCTTAAAAGGATGTCCTGGGCCCTCTCTGGTGGTGCAACAGGTTAGAGCGCAGCACTGCAAGCTGGCTGCAGCCACTTCAGTGTGAGTTTCATGGCCCTGGAGGTGACCCACATGGCACCGCAAACCTCTCCTGACCCACCCACTGCTCCCCTCAGCAGTGTACTTCATCAGTTGGCCTGTTCTGCTCCCCACTCTGTGTCTGGTGAATCCTCTCACTGCTCCTGCACCTCTGGCCTGTACACCAGTTCTGTACGCATAAATAAATCCTTTTTTTAATGGAAGAGTATAAATACTTTTTTTTAATTATATTTTAAAAAAAGGACATCCTAAAATCTCCCAGAACCATTACCACCCACTTTGCGCCCAACCCAAAGGCCTACTGGGTGGAGCAGTTAAAGGCAGGAGCTGGGAGGGCCGGGACCACCTACCCGACCTGGGGGCTGCACTGTCCAGCTCCAAGCTAGCTTGTGTCAACACAGCATTCGATTCTTCAAGACATCCAGACATCAAGCCAGACATCCAGAATTTTGTGTAAAATTTCCTAGTGTTTAAATACTGGCAACTGAAGGCAATTTTTAAATAGCGTCTGGGTGAAACAAAACACATCTGTGGGCCAAATTCTGCCCACAGGCTGCCAGTTTGGGATTGTGCTACAGACACTTTAACAGAAGATCTTTCCCGTGGGAGGCGGTGAGGACTGGGTGACTTCTTGTGCAAAGGGATGTGGGTTCAATGCTGAGGGACCCAGATCTGGGCTGACAGCAAGGCAGGTATCCAGAAAGACCTTCCCTCTCAACTTGGAGGCATTAGACCCCTACATCTGACCCTGGGCTGAGTCTGAGTCTTCTCCGGGCAAACAAAGAGAATTCAACAAGCCCAGCAAGAAATGAAATTCAGACCTAGGAGCAACTCTCCAAGAAAATGAAGGTAAAAGAAATGACTTTTAGGCCTCCCTCCTAGTGCAAGGGTTAAAGACAGCACCAGCCACGGCAGCATGAGTTCGATCCCCGGCCAGGGAGGTGACCCACATGGCACAGCAGGGAGGACCCACATGGTGACGTTTCCTGTCTCACCTGCTGCTCCCCTCAGCAGTGTATTTCAGTTGATCTGCCTGCTCCCCACTCTGTCTCTGGTAAATCCTCTCACACAACCCCCCCCCCCACCAACCCTGCACCTCTGGCCTATACCCCAACTCTTGTATACAGAAATAAATCAATCTTTTTTAATAAAATAAAAGAAATGGCTTTGTACTGTAAGGGTTGGAGAGTGAAAGCATCGAATCCTCAAATCGCAGGATGAGATGAAGACTTGGCTTTCCCAAGAGGGAGACTGTTACCACCCAGAACAGGCCATGGACAGACATGGGCGCCTCAACCCAGTGCCGGCCCCGGGCCCCCGCCACGCTCACCGGTGGAAGCTGTCCACCATCTTCAGGTGCACCCGCAGGTCCTTCTTGGTGAGGTGGTCAAGCATGCGTGCGTCCACCAGGCACTCCATGAAGTAGCTGCGGTACTGGGGGAGCCCCAGGCTGGGCAGCCACTCGTTCCCGATCCACTCATGGTTCATGTCTCCGTAGGCCAGCGTCTGCAGGAACAAGATGGCAGAGGCTGAGGTGGGAGAAAGGCCGCGCCAGCCGGGCGCAGCTGGCCGAGTTGGCGGAGCTGACAGAGAGGATCGTGGCTCCATCCTCCATGGCAGGGCAATCAAATTTCAGCTTATTTTCACCAGGGGGCTGGTAGCAGTGGGAGGTGCGGGTTTTAAATGGAGCTTCTCAAGATCCTGAAATGATATGGTTCCACTCACATATCAATTGGCTACACTAATGAACAGAAGCCGCTCTCCAGGCAGCAGATAAGCTGAAATCCTTCCTGTCGGCTCTGAATGCATTTGTGGTGTTGCCCAGCAGCCTCGCCTTTCTGATTCTGTCGGCCTCAAGCCCACCGAGCCCAGGGGACGGGCTGCATTACAGGGGACCTGCAGACTGACAGAAGAAGCCAGGCTCACTTGAGACACTGGCCTTAATGTCCGCGGGGCCCTGGGCAGTGGCTAAAGGCAAAAGCATAAAGAACAGTGTTCTGCCTCCATACACGTGCTCCCCGTGGCGACCACTACGCTGTTTCCCCTGTGCCATTAAAAATATTTTTAGCGGCCCTCCCTGGTGGCGCAGCGGGTTAAAGCACTGCACTGAGAATCTAAAG